GGTTTTAGCAGGAAAACTGCTAACTCGGTAATCAGAAAAGCTGGAAAGCTGAAATTTTGAGGGAATATTTCCTGTCCAAGTACAACACATTCAGCCCCAAGCTATGCGTGGTACTCACGTAAGAGCGTAAGAAAGTTTGTGGGGAAAAATTTTAATTCGAGAACCAGAAAAGCTAGAAAGTTGAAGTTTTAGGGGAAGTTCCCTGTCAAAGTACAATTTAAGTATTTCAAATTCAACCTTGAGGTATGTGATTCTTACGTACGAGCACTTAAAAGTCTTGACAAAAAATTTCTCACTGAAGAACTAGGTTATTTTTAAAGAACGACTTTAATGGAAATTACACATTACTTTGCAAAATTTATGATGATTTATGCTAGTGACCGCAAAAGGTAGGTATAAAGCAACAGCCATTCACACATTTAATGATCTGAGTAATTAAAGTCCGGTGCAAAAACGCATGATCGCACGGGCCCGGCCGGTGCGTTCCAGCCTGAGTTCTTGATTATACCAATTCATGGGTGGGTGTGAACATCTGTGAGACAAGGTTAGCCAAATATACATTGTTTGGTAGGTGGAAATTCGAGATTTAGTGCGATTCACTTCACAGCCACAGAATCACTTCGAGCTTTGGAGCTAAAACCTCCTCAGTGGTTGGGAAGGTAAGTCATACTGATTGTGTCTGTATCCTCATTTGGAAATGCCATTTTGTGTCCAAGCATGCATTCGCAGATCTTTCAAATGTCTCTTGGAATTTCGCAAGAGTGTTTGTTTAAAAGAATGTAGTCTAAATCTTTTACTGTTGCTCCTAAAAAGTATTCTGAAATTAGTGGAAAATCAATCCAAGAAACTCACAAGAGCAGATTTGATAGCACCAGAGGATTCATCGAAAAATTCTTCAAAATTTGTCGCCTTATAATCTTCTTCGAAATTTTCGAAATTCTGCAACGAAATGCTGCTTCTATGACTGTTACCCGCTTCCATCAAACCCTTCGAAGTTTTCCGCTGCTCTCGGTTCAACTCATCATCGCTACCACCAATAGGCTTAAGGTGCCCGCAGGGACTGTGTTGCTGACAACGGTCCATATTCAACACTGCTGATTGCCATTTCTTGACAGTATTCGTTTTTTGATCAATAATCCAGTTCCAGAAACGCCTCATCGCTGAATGCAGAAGATTGTCAAAAATATCTTGGTCATTAATGTAGACAAATGTTGACCCTAATTCTCGACCAATCCAGTTAAACGTTAGACGTAATACTTCAAAACGTAATTGCTTTAGAAATCCGTCCAGAAATTTTAGCAGAGGATACGTCCTTATTGCAGAACAGAATTGTTTTTCTTAATCCAAAAGCTCTGCAATGAAGATTAGTATAGAAATGTGTTAAATCGTTTTGTTCACATACTGACGTTTCATTTTAGAATACGACTTTCAAACACAGCACATAAAGCAGACATGACACACAACACATGTAACAGAAACACCAAGACCGTCTGAGCAACAGTGCAGATACTTCATGCTGGTGATATTACCAGAATGCTCCCAAAATAGTTGCAGTTATGCCACATCCTTTGTTCCTCCTCTTCGAGTCGGCTGCGTGGTCGTCCGATTTCTCGAAAGTACCTCTTACGAGCGGTTTCTGATGATTGTAAGCAAAATGAACATCATAGAGTGCCCAATGAATTTCCCTTTTTCGTATGGCTGTAGTGATATCCCGCACGCCGCGCATCTAACAGGACCTAATGAGTGTGGAAAGACACAACAAGCACATTCTATTTCTCCCTCCGCCACAGTCAACCCTTGTTCTTCTAATTTCGACAATGACCAGACTTTGCATTCGAATATCTCTGCTTCAAACTCAGAAGCACTAAAATAGATTGGAGCAATGAGCACAGCCCTTTTTGCCTCGACATTCTGAGGACACGATCATGCTCGGAAATTTGAAATGACGGAATTTCCGTTTCCGACATATTAATTTTACATCTATTTTTTTTTTTTGCTTTATGCTTAGAGCTCTTTCAGTATGTTATTGGTGTCGCGAGATTGCCAGTGATAAAAACAGCACTGTTCGTGAAACGAAATTGTTTTAGTTGCTCGCCGTTGATGTTCATAACAGCCAGCCAATCCAGCTTACGAACCCTCTCCAGGTAAGTCATGGTGAAAGACTTGTTTGAAATACATCTGCAACTCTGTCTCATGCCCTTTTATTTGGCTTACAAATATTTAGTCACTCAGATGTGTATCTCTGTATAACAAATGTAATAAGTGCGAAAGCCATTTGACACAGGCAAGCGTGTAAGGAAACGGTTGAGTTTGCTCCACTAAATTTCATTTCTACAGCGCAAACTTCCTGGTTTTCGTGCAGACGGCCATCTTTCTCCATAAATAAAATGCGGATAATATTACTTTGTCTGAAATTCTTTCGGGATCGATTCGAGGGACAGTTCGCAAATTTTTTTTTGCAATACATTTGGGACAAGTCACAAGGCGAATTCACTTTTATTCCAAATAAGGGTCAAGACTGACACATGACTACTTCTTGACAGCATTCACTCTCTTGCATTTTTTGTCAAAAGTTGTTATCTATCGCCTCCACTACTTTTCCCTTCCGGGGGCAAAGAAGAAGCGGTAACTTCTTAAAAATTTGAAGAAATCCTTAAGGTGTTTTCTTCAAACCTTTAAAGTTGATTTAACTGTAACAAAAAAAACATTTAAAAACAGCACAAGAAATCAATTAACAGCTAATTATAGTGTTGAAAAATACAACAAAAATGTGAAGTTAACGCCACGAATTATTACTTCTAATTCAACTATGCTAAAATGCACAAGTGTATGGGTACTGAAAGTTGAGAATATCAACTGTTTAGTAGGAGTAGCGTAGAGATATCGAGAGAGATGCAGGGTGGGAGTTTAACTTTGAAGGATGAGCTGCATCATCCATTCATTCAAACTATCCATCTCCTTTGCTTCTCACTTCGACTGCGCTAACGGAATATTCACAGCATCAGCACCGGCAGCGAAGGTCTCAGCAACAGCAGCTGCAGCTGCTGCTGCTGCTGCTGCAGCGGCGGCGGCAGCAATAGCAACAGCTGCAGTGGCGGCAAGTGCTGCAGCAGTGGGCATGCTAACGACAAGTTGTAGCAGCATCAACAGAAATGTCAAATTATTACATTTTTCATTAATAAATTTTTTAATTTTCTCCAAAATTGCCATCCGTGC